TTTTGCGAGAGAAAGAGAGAATATGAGCGAGGGAGGGACAGAGAGAGGGGGAGAGAGAGAATTCCAAGCACACTCCGTGCCACCAGCATGGAGCCCGACATGGCACACGAACCATGAGATCACGACCTGAGCCCAAATCAAGAGCTGGAGGCTTAACGGACTGAGCTGCCCAAGTGCCCCACTTCTCTTCAGTCTTAAAAGGTGAGTAAAGCTTTCGCCAAAAGGGAAGTGTGAGCTGGGGCACAGTAGAGGGCACAGCATATTCAAGCATGGAACCTTACACACTGGGTTACTCACTTCTTTTTAAGTCTGTTTTCTCCCTTGAAAACTGGGAATATTAATACCTTTCCCAGCCTAAAGGGAGTTATTGTAAGGATGCCACGAGGCTTTTTCTAAGAAAGCACTTGATGATGGTGATAATGGTGATAACAGCTCTAATTTTAAAAGTGCTTTTTATTATTTTATAATATCATCAGAGTAATTAGATTTGTATACAATTACCTGACAACATAGCTGCTATGATCTCCATTTTACAGATGAGAAAACTGAGGTTCAGAGAGGGATAAATCTTTCTGAAAGCATGAAATAAAGGAACAGGGGTATGGAAACTGTCTTCCATACACAATGTCTCTTGACTCAAAACTATAATGTTTGACATATGTAAACGTGTGTGTTTATATATAAGTATGAGAGGGGGGCTTTTTCCCCTCCTTGGGGGAAAGTTATATTTATATTCAGGAGATATATATATATATATATATATATATACACATATATATGTGTGTGTGTATACATATATATATCAGAATATATATCAGATATATATATCATATATATCAGAATATATATCAGATATATATATCATATATATATCATATATATAACATATATATATATTTATATCAGATATATATATATATCAGAATATAACTCAGTTATATTCAGGAGGAGTTATATTTAACTCACTTTCATGCCTCAAATTTAAAATTCAGGATTTTGGGGCGCCTGGGTGGCTCAGTCGGTTGAGCGTCCGACTTGGGCTCAGGTCATGATCTCGCAGTCTGTGAGTTTGAGCCCCGCGTCGAGCTCTGTGCTGACAGCTCAGAGCCTGGAGCCTGCTTCATTCGGATTCTGTGTCTCCCTCTCTCTCTCTCTCTGCCCCTCCCCCGCTCATGCTGTCTCTCTCTCTCTCTCTCTGTCAAAAATAAATAAACATTAAAAAAAATTTTTTTTAATTCAGGATTTTGACCTAAGAAATTAAGGGTTAACATTTTTTTTTCATGACAATTATCAAAGCATCTTGTATACTGTAAATAGTAGCCTGGTTAACGAAATCATGACTTTAACCTAGAATGTCACTGAATCTTCATTGGCCCTATCATTAGACACCCAATTTTACATAAACCGTATCACCAGAAGACACGCAGTCTGTTACGTTACTTCATTTTTTGCAAAGGTTCCAGAATTGCCATGCCAAGGTGATGGCTGCGAGGATCATTCTCCCTAAGAATCCGTCCTATTACAGCTTTGGGGAATCTTCCCATTCTCGTCCAAAGCAATGGTCCCCACGGCAGTTGCAGCCATATTACTTAGACAATTTGCGTAGGCCAATACCCAGAGCGAAGACTGGCAGGTGTGGAAACCACACCTTCACTTCCAGTCTCTGTGAAGGGGATTTCTTACATGTCATTTGCATCTCTCAGCTTATCATGAACTAGGAAATGGAAGATTCTTGGGCAAAAAATGGACAGAAGGCATTCAAGTTCATTTTTTCCAAAACGACTTGGTGCGTATTGTACTTTTTTCTTCCAAGGAAGTGTGTTTATTTTCTCACTGTTGGCAGAGATGTGCTATAGATTAGATTAGATTCCATCTTAGTTCCTTATTGGTATTATGTTAAATTCACTAGAATATAAAAAGATACTGGGAATGAAAAAAGGCATAAGTACGCTTCTCCTTACCTATACGTCTAGGTACATGCAGAAATAAGGCCTCAGTTGATTGGTATAACGACTCCTTGGGAATAAAAGTCATTTCCTAGAAATTGCATTCATTAAAAATGCTGAATGTCGGGTAAGTAAAAATTCAACATATTTTAGCACCGCTTAAGAAAACAGTGACATGTTTTCTGGGCTTGATTTTGAGTGACACCTTACAGATACCATCTTCGTACATATGCTTGTCCCGATAACGGATTCTAAGCCTTGGGGCAGCCTCCAGACTACTCTGAAACATCTTTATTAGAACCTGTGATTTTTATTATGCTCCTGATGATCCTGAGACCCTCTGGCTCCTCCCACATCGCTCCCGAAAGACCATGCCATTGACTATCATCTTGTAAGGTATTTGACTTCACTTAGGGTTAGTCTCTTCATTTGTCACAGGGCTAATCACACCTACCTCACAGAGTGATTTTAAGGAATAAATGAGATGATTGTGCACAAAGCACTCAACACGCAAAGTGGTTAGCTCACAGGTAGCATTTGGTAACTGTCCGTATCTTTTCCAACTCCCGGATTTGGGCCCCGGTGCTGAACCACACACCCCAATTACCCAAATTGTTTATATGGTAAGATGATGGAGGAAGGCAGACAGGTGATGCCAATACTCTGGCAGTTCATAAGCTCTCCGGTCAACAGGAAAGATCCGAGACGAGCCAAAGTCTCACTGAGACGCGTGCTGCTTATATTTTCAGGAAAAGAATGCTTATTCTGCTCAATTCTCTGTCATTGTGCAGTGAAGTAGGACTAAACTATCTTAGAGATGGCATTCGGGAACATGCTCAAAAGCGCATCTGGGTATCAGTGAAAATGCTGGATTTTAGATTAAGAGCCTTTCTAAACATTAGCTGCAGAACTCAAGATAAAAATTTCTCCTCTTTGTTCTGGGCCAATCACAAGATTAGAAATGATAGTTCAGCTCTAAAACGGCAGATTACTTATAAATGTGTTATCTAGTTTGGGGAATCTCAACCATGTACTTAGTATTGAGTAAGCTAAAAGTGCTGACAAATCCAGGTGTGACCTTCCTCAGTTGAGCCCTGCTTTTCTACAGGAACTTGGGTCACACTTTCCCGGTATATAAAGCAAGAACATCAATATCAAATACTTATAAAATTTAAAAGTAACCAATTGATTGTATGAATGTGTAGCAGTTTAAATCTGCACGTGTTGGAGGCAGAGGATGAAACTGAAGGCATCTATATTTTTTCCACAGTCATACACATACTTTCCACCAAAAAAAGCAGGAACAAAATATTTGCTGAAGTCTGAACTAATCTTTGGAAGAACAGCCATTTGGGAAAAGTATTTCTAGGTAATCTTTCATTGGGGGTGGGAGTCCATTTCAAAATTACCAGGTGGCCTTGTCTTTTGTTACATATGCTTTAGAATAAGACTACCGGACTTGCATACCTGATTAGAGTATAGAGATATGACAGAGAACTTCAAACAGGAACTTTCCTAGTGGCAGAGAAATATCTAAACAAACTGGGAAAACAGAAACTGACCTAGCTCATTTGGAAATGGGCTTGGCGGCTGATGAAATAGGTGAACTATAATTAAGTAATGCAATAAAGGAGTTAAACACTTTCATGACAACAAAAACACACACAACACACTCTCTAGGTGGGTAGTCACCAGGTTATTCATAGGCTCTGGCTGTCTCAAATTAGAATATTCAATGAGTGGCCCAGAACAGACACTTGCATTGTTCCCAGGCAGCCCTACAGGTGGAAAGAAAAAAAAGCACGGAGCCTTTCTGACCTCTAGGTTCATTTCTAGCTCTAGGAAGACAGTCCCCTTTCCAATTGTATTTTTTTCACAGACCCTTCAAAGCAAAGATAGCCAAGCCAAATCATTTACTGAGAATCTTCTAGCAAATCACTCTTAGCACAGTTTTGGCAGAAACCACAGACCCAGTTTCTACTTCAGTTCCTAAATTTGTACAAGTAACTTCTAACTATGCATAGTATGCATGTCATTAGATCTCCCAAGCCCTGAGATAAGGCGTGTCGAAATAATAATTTAACTGTCACATCCTGCATAGGTAGAGTTAGTTTGTTAGGGGAATTTGCCCCATTGCAACCCCAGAAGGAATGTGCGGCTGGCAACTTTTATTTCCTTATTAAGGTTTTCCTATACACCTCCAAATCCCTCTTGAAATTTAAGGAATTAGAGAGAAACGATATATTCTTTTTCAAACCAGAAAGTTTACAAAGGATCCCCTTCTCCCCCCCCCTCCCCCCATCCGCAAGAACTAAATCATCTCAAATAGACAGGCATCCAACTCATCAATTTCAGGCTATGGGGTGCAATAAACAGCACGAGAAAATTGCCTGACCGGTCTCCCGCGGTGCAGGCTGGGGGGCGTGGGGGTCCAAGGGCTGGAAACAGCTCCAGGACCCGCCCATGTCCCTCCAGCTTCTCGGACGCCAGACCACGTTTTAATTCCGTGGCGCCTGGAGCTCCAGCAAAGCTGCCACCTGCGTGCACCAGGGCCCCCGTGAACAACCAGACACGACAGAGAAAACCGAGGGCGAGACCGGAGGAAAAGCGCTTCTCTCCAAAAGGTCTCTTTCGCCCGGGTCCGGTCTCTACTCCCGCCCTTTGACCCGGTCCCCGCCCGCCCCCCTCCAACAAGAAAGAACAGAACTTGAAATGTTAACAGTGCTTTCCCGGCCTCTGGATTTCCAGAACCGGCAACGTTTCTAAAGAAAGAAACAAAACCTTTGCAACGTAGTCTGTGGCCTGTTAGCGAGCTGCATTAATTCAGGCATAACATTTGTGGCAATGGTTAATTCATCGATGAAAGGCATTTGTAACACCGATACCCCCCTTTCCCATCCCACCCCAATCGGTCCCCGGCTTGAGGACAAGACGGACTCGCGGAACCGCAGACGTCATTTTAAACGGGGTGCACTTCACCCTGGGGGCAGAGGGGAGGGGCGAGCTCCGGGCTTCAGCGAGCCCCGCGGAGGGGAGGCGCGGGCGGGGTCTTACCCAGGCACAGCAGCAGCGCGGGGACGCGGCCCGCGCTTCGCGCCTCCATTGTCCTTCCCGCCGGGAGCAGGGAGCGGCGGCGCGGGCGCTCGGGTAGGGCAGCGGGCGGCGGCGCGGGGAGAGCGCGGGGCTGCGGCTGGAGCGCGTCGGGGAGCCCGGAGCGATCGCGCCACGGCCGCGTCCCTCTGCCACCCGGTCTGTCCGGCAAGTGAGCTCAACCGGCCGGCGCTGCCACCTTTATAGTTGTGGGGAGGGCCCTCGGGCCGGAGGACACACTAGCGGGGTGAGGTAGAAAGAGTCCAGAGTTTCATAACAGGTCCGGGGGAGGAGCGGCCGGAGACTGTCCGGATGTCATCCTGTCATCCTCCCTTTCTGAGCACCTGAGAGTGCTTGAGGAATTAAAAAAAAAAAAAAAATGCCCTTCTGCTTAGCCGGGGACTACTCCCCAAACTTTTCCATCCCCATCTCCGACCTCTGCGGGAGGAGGTGGGGAGCGTGGACCAGATGGATCGGTTTGCTCGGTGGGGTCACCTGCCCAGGAGCGGGTGGTGTTAGCCGCTTGGGTGACAGGCCTAACTTGAATCAAAGTCAGTCTTCCAGCCAGGGCTGGCGTTGGTCCAGCGTGCGCTTTTGGAGAGCCGCGCGTGCCAGTGAGTGACTTGTGGTCATCCTTGAGGTTTGTCAGTGGCTCAAGAGTCCTCCTGGCCTGTATTCGCCACTGCCCGGAAGCGCCTTTCGTGTCCCCACTCTCCTTCCCTGCAGCTCCGCTTCCAGCGTGGTGCCGGCATTTACAGCTTCCAAGTCTAGTCAGGAACAGAAACCCTAAATTATCCGATCTCTGTCCAGTTTGCTGTCCATCAGGCTGCCGCTTTTGGTTTTGCTTCAGCAGATTGCGCCTTAATCCTCTCACTTCCCTCTACAAACTCTTTGGTGAGCCACAGACCTGCCGCAGTGTGGACCAAACCAGTCTTTTCAAACTCGGCTTCCCGCTGGTATACCAGACGAATTGTCTCAGCTCTGCTGGGCTGCAAAACTCTCCTCCTGCCTCTGCTGATGGGGTCACAGTTTGGGGCAATGAGGGCCTTTTACTGGAGCTGGCCAAGTCCTTCTCATCTTGCTGTTTCTCCAGAAGGGCCTGGACTTCTTGAGCCTCTGGGGATCTCTTTTCGCTCTGATCTCTTATAGCTTGCATTGTTTTTCTTCCCCCGGAGGTTCATAGAATTCTAGATCTCATACTTCACACGTGGTGAAACTACTCCGTGTTGGGTTTTTGGTTTGTTTTCTTGTTTGTGAGTCTTATGTTTAGATCTGTATGAATACATAAATTGTCTTACTTTTCCTTGTATTTCCCTGTAGGGCATAACAAGTGAGTCAATTTAGCGGTGATGAAAACATATTTGAATAGATGGAATCTGCTGGATGGTGAGAGCCCCTTACCTTTCTACGTTTTTTTTTGTTTTCTTGTTGTTCCTTTCCTTTTTTGTTTTGTTTGTTTGTTTGTTTTGACTTTTTTCTTCCTCACCCCAAGGGGTGCCTGGTAAGGTCCAGAACTCTCCTGTTGGCAACAACTACTTCATCCCCCAGGAACGAAGCTCACGGGTCTTGCATTTAGGCTGTCTGCATGTGAATCCCTGGACAAGTTCTTTAATCTCCCTCAGTTTCCTCATATGTAAAACAAGGATAATAATAGTATCTAACTCATAGGAAGATAATGAAAGTGCTTCCCACAGTGCCTAGCACAGAGTTCACATGTGTTAAAAATACGTATGATTGCACGTAAATACTGATGCATAGGATGATAGTACTTGGACAGTATTCATGACTTGAATTAATGAACAGTAGGATAGAGATAGGATTTGGGGTTCCTAAGTCTAGCTTCTGAATCTACCAAGAAACGAGCAGTAAGTGACCTCTCACTTAACTGGTCTTTGGTAAAAGAACTCGTGGAACCAAGAAAGATGATCCTGGCAATGCGTTAGTTTTATGGAGCGTTGAGAGCGATCCCAAGTTCGGTAAATTAGAATTTGGAAAAGGGACCACTGGCTACATAATGCCTTTTAAAGTTTTCCACCTGGTCCCTGGAAAAGAAATAGCTCTAGTGTCTAAAAAACTAGAGCAAAACTTGAAAGAATGGGGTGTCACCTGGAAATGTTTCCTTATTCTGCACATAGATGCTGTCAGATACTTGCAAGGAGTGACAGGAAGAGGAATTTTATTAGTCCTGATTAATGTCCTGTTTCATCAAATACAGTGTTGCGCTTTGTGCTCAAAAGAAGGATGGGGTGGGAACGGTTGGGGAGAATGGGGTCATGCTGCAACAGTCAACTCTATGGCATTGACACGTGGGGAGAAATTTTTTCACTTTGTAGCTGATGCCTTGCAAGCATGAGGTATCATCGTGAAAAAATCCCTGTGCTTATCCCAAAATTTTCCATGGCAGCGTGCTCTTCTCTGCGCTGATTTCACACGGTGTGAAGAAATCTCTTCTTTATTGCTTCTATGTTTACTCAATTTTCTAGCCATTAGTTTTTGAGAATGACTCCATCATGACACATCAGGGAATATCTGCCACTGCCTCCGCAAAACAGTCTTCTTCTTCTTTTTTTTTTTTTTTAAATAATTGGGAACAATTTTCATTAATCTTTCATTTAAATATATATACATGGTATGAAGTACAATCATGATTCCTCTTAAAGGCACAAGACATATTTGAAGATGGAACAGTTTGGGAAGACAATACTCAAGTCATAGGGAGTTTTTTAGCTAGGAGGTTACTTACAGACATCAGATCAGCAATTCTCAATCTGAGAGTCCTCGTGATTGTTTTTCCAAGGGGTTGGTAAATCTAAATAACATCTATAGACTAAATATATAATATATCTATCTAAAGCTGTTTTAATGTATTGAGGTTCTATTGTGATTTTTAAAATACATTCATTTTAAATTGATCCTGAGTTCAAGGTGGCTTGATGCCATATGTTTTTCAGTTGACACATAACAATCATGTAACTGCCATCAGGCAGGGAATATGTTACACTAATAATGTCTGCACATGAGAAGGGGATCCTTTTAGAAGAAGTGAGGACATCTGGACTGGCATATACATACAGGCCCAAACTGGTATGAGGACTGCAGACTGCAGCCAGGGCGAGTCCTGGGCCCAAACAGAGAGCCAAACGTCTAGCCTCAGACAAGAACTTGGAAAATTCGCAATTCTTTATCTCTCGCTTTTTCCTTCAAGTTAGGGCTCTCTGGGACTGCAACTGGCACTTGTTTATTATGAGATCACTGCTTCTCAACCAAGGATACCTACTCTGGTGAATTAGCTTTTATATAACACAGGATGTTTGAAGTTGTTTATTAGCTAGTCCTTTGCAAGAACCACTGGGATGGGATGGTATCGGATTGCTTTTCTACAGGGAAGGCATTGACAAATACAGGAAAGTGTCCAAGGTCTGATTGTTAAGTTTAATATTTAAAATTTGAGACATCGAACATGAATTCTGTTCTGTCGGATGCCAACTTTTGGAAAAACTGATTTTCTTCTAAACTTAATCATCTGGGGCCTTTTTAACAAGTTCCATTTAAATGAAGAATTTATGGGGGCGCCTGGGTGGCGCAGTCGGTTAAGCGTCCGACTTCAGCCAGGTCACGATCTCGCGGTCCGTGAGTTCCAGCCCCGCGTCGGGCTCTGGGCTGATGGCTCAGAGCCTGGAGCCTGTTTCCGATTCTGTGTCTCCCTCTCTCTCTGCCCCTCCCCCGTTCATGCTCTGTCTCTCTCTATCCCAAAGATAAATAAACGTTGAAAAAAAAAAAAAAGTTTAAAAAAAAAATGAAGAATTTATGTTTTTTAATGATAAGTGTTTAAATATATGTTTAAGTTAAATAATATAAAGTACAGAAAAAGCACAAATTTCCAAGCAAAATTCTGGACTCCCTATTTCCCCATAACCTTCACAAGACAGTGACTGCTTTGCTTTTCTCCTTAACCAAAAATCAACGGACTACAGTGCTATTTAGGGACGTGTCTCATTTGTTTTTGTGCTCAGCAAATATTTACTGAACGTCTCTGAAATGGTATTATTACATTATTACATGATATAGGTAGATAGAGATATAGAGATGTATCCCTAAATCCAAAGAACTTTTAATCGACTTAAGAGGTAAAAGAGAGAAAAGGAGGAACATATATTGAATGTAGTGATATTCTTTTTTATTTAAATAGCCTCTATCATAAGCTTTTAAAAAAGTGTCTTTTTCCTCTGGATTAATCCATTCTTAATAGAGAAGTAGTGTAAGAATTCAAAATGGAAAGTTCCCTTGTTTATGTTTCATTGTATAATTAAAGAAGTAGAAAAACTTAGATATTAAGGCATTTGGGTGGCTCAGTCAGTTAAGCATCCAACTTCGGCTCAGGTCATGATTTTGCAGTTTGTGAGTTTGAGCCCCATGTCAGGCTCTGTGCTGACAGCTCAGAGCCTGGAGCCTGCTTTGGATTATGTGTGTGTGTCTCTCTCTCTTTGCCCCTCCCCCTCTCAGGCTCTGTCTCTCTCTCAAGAATAAATAAACATTTAAAAAAATAGATGTCGGGGCGCCTGGGTGGTTCAGTCGGTTAAGAGTCCAACTTCGGCTCAGGTCATGATCTCACAGTCCGTGAGTTCGAGCCCCGCATTGGGCTCTGTGCTGACAGCTCAGAGCCTGGAGCCTGCTTCAGATTCTGTGTCTCCCTCTCTCTCTGACCCTCCCCCGTTTATGCTCTGTCTCTCTCCGTCTCAAAAATAAACATTAAAAAAAAAAGAAAATTAAAAAAAAATAGATGTTGAGAACATTTTAAAGTCTACTAAATAGTAAATTATATTTTCTCATTGATTGACCAGATAATTTGAGGTTTTTCTTAAATTAAAAGTGATTTTGCATTTGCAACTACATGGATGGAACTGGAGGGTATTATGCTAAGTGAAATTAGTCAGAGAAAGACAAATATTATGTGACCTCACTCATATGAGGACTTTAAGAGAAAAAACAGATGAACATAAGGGAAGGGAAACAAAAATCATATAAAAACAGGGAGGGGGACAAAACAGAAGAGACTCATAAATATGGAGAACAGAGGGTTACCGGAGTGGGGGTGGGAGGGGGGATGGGCTAAATGGGTAAGGGGCATTAAGGAATCTACTCCTGAAATCACTGTTGCCCTATATGCTAACTAAT